GGCGAGTGCGCGGGGACCTGTTCACCTGCTCCCGCGCCACGGGGGACCCGAGCCCGGCGCGCCCCTGCGCCGCGAGAGCCGGCGGTTTCTTGCCCCAGTCGGGGTCACGTTCCCGTGTGCTCAGTGCTGCGTTCTCCGATCCCCTCCAAGGTTCGTGCCTCCGATCCCGCAGCCGGGTCACCGTCCCCGCGCCCTGGCACGCGGCCCCTCAGCTCGCCCCGGCCGCGCCCCCTGACCGTGCTGCACGATCCCGGCTGCGGATCTGGGCCAGCGGGCGGGTGACCGCAGGGAGGACGCGGGGAGGGGTCCCCCCCGGCGCGCGCCCCGCCTCCCCACGCCCAGCCCCGCACCTCCCCACCTTGCGAGCCCAGCCCGGGCGGGCTCCGCTTTCCTTCCGGGGAAAGAGAAAAGGTCCCGGCTCGGCCGCCGCCTCTTAAAGGGGCAGCACCGCCCCTCCCTTCTCATCCTTCCTACTCGGGCTCCGCCCTCTCCCCCAGACACCTGTCGGGAGCCCCTAAAGGCTTGAATTTCCCGTCCCTGGCCCTCGCTTCTCCCAGGAAGCGGCACCTCCGGAGCCAGATGGATTGGACGGGGCGGGGTGGGGCGGGACCTGTGGGTTCTCTTCGCTGCGGCGGCTGGAGAGACGTTCCGGGCGCGGCCACCTCGCTGTGCGGGTCGGGCGGGGCGCGCATCGGCGCCATCGGGGACCGAAGTCCGCGCGCGGCTGGCTGGAAGGAAGGCTGCGCTCACCTCCCGGCGCACCGAGCCCCTAAGAATGGCTGGAGGTCTCTGGGCGTTTTTGCTCGCACCCGGCCCCTTTTCTGTCTCGGTCGAGGTTTATTTTCCTGCCTGTCTATCCCCACCCATCCTGATCCGAGCTGGGACTGGCTTCTCATCAAAGCCAGGGAGATAGTCAGCGGTGATAATAACCAAACACCGCTAGCTGTAATTAGCAAGAAGCCTTTTCCGCTTCAAGCCGCCTTCTGGTAGGTCGGGCTAAACTGGCAGCTTGGAAATGAATCCCGCCTTGGAGCGCACGGGTGGCTGGGACAGCGCCCATTTCTCCTGGGCTCCAGGCTTGGGGCCCAGCCAGCCCCCTCCTCCCACCCAGGTCGCACTGAGCGCTTGGAAGCTGGGCGGGAGCACCAAGCCCACAGGGGTGTAGCAGGTGGTGTGAGGGAACTTCAAGAGGTCACTGGACTCTCTTGAGTCTAATTCAGATTTCCCTTAATGCAGTACAAAGATCCATTTGCCCTGAACATTCTGAAAATATGGTGTATTAGGCACGTATGCTAAGTGCTTTGAAGTATTATAAAATTAAATCTTCATATTGATTGTGGAGGTGTTATCTCGGACAGGAAATCTGAGACTCAGGGAGGTTAAGCAAGTTGGGGAAGGCCGAACAGCTAGGATATAATCCTGTGTCATCTGGCCGTGGAGCCCTTCTTAATCACATAAGCTAATCATTAACCTCTGTACAATATGTAGGGCAGGTCCAGGTTTGGTGGGACCTGAAGCTTGTCCAATTTGGCACTCTTCAGTAGGAAATTAGGAGTACAAAATTAGAATTAGAAACCAGATGTGATGGTGCACACCTGTGACCTCAGCACTCAAGAGGCTGAGGCAGGAGGACTGCTTTAAGTTTGAGGCCAGCCTCGGCTACATAGTGAGTTCAAGGCCAGTCTCAACCATACAGTGAGACTCTGACTCTACAGTCCCCACCCCACCCCCAAGTAAAGATTAGAATTAGAGGCTGGAAAGGGGCCCCAGCTTGACTTTACAGATTGCAAACCACTCCATATGCAGGCTCTTTTTATCCTCTCAGCCACCCTGGTTCAAGATTAGCATCAGCATTCACCTTAGGAGGGAGTTAGGCCTCAGGAGGTGATCTGGATATCACAGATTGTACAACATATGGGAGGCAGAGTTAGGACTGGAAGCCGCTGACCACAGCTGCGTCTTTAAAAGACAAACTCCAGGCAGATGTTCAGAACCGGACTTGCCTAAACAGAAGCAGCTGCGATAACAGTTTTCTCGCTGCATGGGGGAGAGGACCCTTGTCCTTGACTGCCCTCAAGACCGCATTTGTTCCTGAGCAATGAGTCCCGGAGCCTCTCTCACAGTCCATCTTGTGGTCCAGGGCCACCAAGGGTTAGGAGATAGCCAGGGTTGAGGGACAGGGAGCTGAACGGAAGCTGAGCCCGATATGTTTCCTCCCTGGCTGCTCCTGGGATCCTCCACCTTGTTCCTGGAGAGGGGGAGACAGCCAGGACTAGGGGTGCAGGGCACACATTCTGTCCTCCCCCAAACAACTTTGAGTCCTGTGATGACAGATGGCCCCGTGCCAGCCCTTATCTCTCCGGCCCTCCCAAACAGGAATCACCAGCACGTCCGATCCGGGGTCTGGGAGCAGGAAAGGGATGCGGGATGGTTTTCCAGCCCAGGGGAGTGTCCAGAGGGAATTTGGAGCAGAGCTGGGGCATGGGCTAGGAGGAGGAGGAGGGCCTGGAGAAGGAATGTGGGGAGTGTCCAGTCTGGGGGAGATGGGCTGGGGTGGAGGAGACTTGGAGACAGGAAGGGTCTGTGCTGCAGAGGTGGAGAAAGAGCCATCCCAAGTTCACGCCACAGAGCCTCGATCTTTCCAGGGACGATCTCATCCCCACCCTCATCCCGTCTCACCAGTGGCTTTATCACGTCAACCAACTCTTTGTTAACTCTTCTGGGGAAGGGGAAGCAGACTGCCAAACAAGGAATGTGTGACGAGAAGAGTCCGAGTGCAGCTTCTGACGTCTGCTGGCAGCTTTTACGCCCTACTCCCAGCTCTTCCCCTAAGGCCTGCGCTGGCCTCTGGACAAGCTGATGGACGGCGGATGCCCCCTGGGCACCTGAGGGAAGGAGATCCACAAACCCTTTCCTGTCTGAACCCTCAGCCCAACCAAGCCAACCTCCTTTTCTGGGTCTCCGAAGCCATTCGGGACCGGCATCAGAAACCACAATTCTGTGAATAATAAACATTTTCCTACCCTGTTGTGTGCCTATGATGTCATTCATGACATATATTTTTAAAAAATTTCTTTTTGAGACAGGGTCTTGCTGAGTAGGTCAGACTGACCTGGAACTCACTGTGTAGCCCAGGCTGGCCTCAAACTCATGGTGATCCTCCTGCCGCAACCTTCCGAGTGCTAGGTGTACACTACCACATCGGGCTTGTCTTGACAGCTGAATGAAACCTGGGATGGGCCCATCTGCCCCTGCAGGTGACCGCAGCAACACAGTGTGTGTGCTGCTGCAGGTGGGAGGCTTCCTGGGTGGGCAAAGACAGGACTGTCCCTTGGAGCCTGGGGGAGAAGAAGGCCGAAGAGGTGGGGCCTGGTTTGGGTGAAGTTTTCCCAGCTAGAGCGTGACAACGTCAATACTCCACACAGGCGGCTTCGGTGCAGGGAGCGCTGCTGGGGACTGGTTAGGTGCCGGCTGTCTCCTGTCCTCTGACCTTGGGCAAGTTGTCCTCCTGCTCCTGCCTCAATTTCCCAGCTGTGAAAGAAAAGGGCTACAGAAAGTCCCCCTTATTCTCCCAAAGCTCCTGGCGTCTGCTGATCTAAGTGGACCAAGTCTCTGCTATTGTACTCAGGTCCCTATCTCTGACTTGAATTGAAAATGCAAATTCTAGGGAAGGGGGCAGAGGAGGAGGGTCAAAGCCTGAATGGGTTATCAGCTGCCCACTTCCCTCCTTGGTTCAGAATCCCTTGGGCTCAGTCTTTCCCTGAAGACCTATCACACTCTCTGTCTCTCTCTCTCTCTCTCTGTCTCTCTCTCTCTCTCTCTGTCTCTCTCTCTCTCTCACACACACACACACACACATACACACACACACACACTCAGATATCTAAGATGAGTGAGGGCCTCTTCCTGGAAACTGGGATTTCATCCGGGCCTCACTTTTGTAAACTCTCAACCTTATACAGCCTGAACCCATGTTGCTTTAGATTTTAGGGCTGCTGCTGGTAGAGCCAGGGGGAGAGGTCAGAAAGAACATCCCGGCTGCAGCAGAAGGTTGACAGCTGAGGTGGCCAGGAGGGCAAGGAGGGGACACATGGGGGCTGCCGTATGATCTGGGGGGTGGGCTAAGCAGAGGTAGTGGCAAAGTGGGGAGAGGGAAGCAGCCCTCATGGGGGAATGGTGAGCAGGTCCCAAATAACGGGGAACTTGCTTGCCAGCTGACCTGTGTCCTGATCCCCAGGTCCCTTCCCATCTCACCTGGCTCCTAACTCTGGTGACCTCTGCAGGCCTTTTGGTCTCAAGTTGGCCCCTTGGAGGTGAGAGGCCGTGAGTGCCCACAGGGCGGAGGCAGCAGGCCCGCCGCTGAGCCATCTCCTGGGAGAAGCCGTCCCACAGCCGTGTCTGTGCTCACCAGGGAATCTGGGTGGGTGGAGGCTTTACCTACCCCCTCACTCTCTGCTGGGGGTGGATGTTCCACACGGTCCCTCACCTGTGTATTCCCCGTATGTCCCTCCCTCCACAGTGGCTTCCTCGGGGCCAGGGTGTGGGAAATGTGGGTCTGTATTGATCCTGCTGCCAGAGGCAGTGGTTGGTCCAGTAGGCAGGGTCAATAGGGCACTGGGGAGTGGCTAGGTCAGAGAGTGACAGTGACACCCAGCTTGCTGACCCACCTTCACTCGCCCCACTACACTACACAGCAGTATCACCATGGTCACTAATTCCTGCATTTTTGTGACCTTCTTTGTAATAAGATACCTATGATGTTGGAGTGTATCTGCTATAAAATAGACGAAAAAAGGGGAATTGCCCAGGTAGAAATAGTAAACTAGCAAGGAGGAAATCCTTTTTCCATTGTGTCTTCTGATATTTAAGTAAAAGATATCCCAGACGCAGTTGGGTATGGTGGTGCACACCTGTAATCCCAGTACTCAGGAGGCTGAGGCAGGAGGATCATCACAAGTTCGACGCCAGCCTGGGCTACATAGTGAAACCTTGTATCAAAAAAAAAAAAATTATCCCAATTCCTCTTAATAACTAATTCCCAAATCAGGACCCTCTCAAGTTCCAGCCCTGTAGATATGATTGCTGAATCCAAGTCCCTAACGGGTCCCCCGAATGACCCACAGGTGGCACCTAGCCTGCTGTGCTCCCAGGCGCTCAAACCACCTAGAAGCCTGGGCTCTGCTTCCTTCTCTCTGCCCAATTTAGACAATCACTGTTGCCCTTGCTTTCAGCTTTCATCTTCTTGAATTGGGGGGGGTCAGTTTTGTAGTTTTGTTTTTGTTTTGCAGTGCTGGGGATGGGGCCAGTGCTACGTAAGTGCTATCCACTTGCTACACGAGTGCTCTACCACTCAGCTACACCTCCAGCCCTTTTATTTTATGTTGACATAGGGTCTCACTAAGTGGCCCAAGCTGGCCTTGAACCAACTATGTAGCCCAGGCTGTTCTGGAACTCATATCAGTCCTCCTGCCTCAGCCTCCTGAATAGCTGGCATCACAAGCATGAACTATCTCACCCAGCTCCTGGCATCTTGTCACTGGTCTCTGTCCCTTCTCCCTGGAATGCTGCCATTGTCACCTCTCTGCCCTTCCACCTTCCTCCCCATCTGCACAGCAGCCAGAGTGCGGTCCTACCCCTCTACCCTGGCCCCTTTCCTCCTTGACACCTCTGCTGGCTCCTCCAGCCCCCAGGACGAAGTGCCCTCCTTGTGACGGTTCTGCCCATCTTCCCATGTGCCCACCTGATGCTTCCCCTCCCCAACTCCCCTTCCGCTGGCTGGCAGGAAGGGCCAACTTCCGCTGATCCCTCACAGACAGCACCCTGGCCTTGTCACCCCGGGAGCCCACGGCTTAGAAGCCACTGTTGAGTCCTGCTGTGTGGGCTCCCCTGGCGCTGGGTTGGGACCTTGGGCTCTCACACCCCCTCCTCCTGCTTACCTGGCCGCACCCCCCCCCCAGCCTGCTGAGCTCCCCCTTTGTTTTTTATTTTGACTCCTTTCCCCATGTCCAGGTCCCCTACCTGCCTGCTCCTCCCAGCATGCTCTGCCTGCGGAAGTCCTCGGCCCACCCAGGCTTCTGTCTGTAGCCCCCTCCATGACCCTGTGTGTCACCTGTGCTGATGACCCCAGCATCCAGCCTCAAAGCTGGACCTCAGCAGCCGCCTCCAGCTGCCCACTTCAGGCTCCGCAGACTCCGCATGTTCAGAAAGGACTCCTCAGCCCCCTTGTCCCTGCCCTGCTACCCTGTACCTCTGTCTCAGTGCTCGCCCCACTCCTGGCTCGGTTCCACAAACACTCGGGCCATCTGGGCCTCCCTCTGACCTTTGCACGAGCTGTCACCCTGCGCGAATGCCCTTTACCCTCTAATCCACTTGGAAAATGTCCACTGGTTCTTCGAAATCCCTCATGAGCTTCCACAGTTTCAGTGAAGTCTTTACACATGCATGTGTGCACATGTGCACACCCACGTGCACAAACACAGTCACCAGGATCTTCCAGGCCTTGCACCTGACTGCCAGCCTGGGCTTGCAGCATGATTATAACCTGGCGGGACTGTGACCTTGAGTGATTCCTACCACGGCCATTGACCTCAGTTTCCTCATCTTTAAATTGGACACAAAGATGCCAAACTCAAGCTGGCACACACCTAGAATCCTAGCACTCTGGGAGGCGGAGGCAGGAAGATCACAAGTTCAAGCCCCAGCTGGGCAATTTTGCCAATTAGTGAGACCCTGTCTACAATAAAAAAGGACTGGGGACGGAGATCATTGTGAAGGCCCTGGGTTTAATTCCCTTTACTCTCTCTCTCTCTCTCTCACACACACACACATACACACACACAACCCAAACCCACAGGTTTGTCAAAGCAGCAAAGCTGGGCCCCAGAGTTCCACCCGAGCAATGGCACTCGTGTTTCCCGGCCCCAGCGACCCCTGGCACTCAGCAGATGCTCAGCTCCTACACTACCAGGGAAAGTCAATCGAGAAACACGTGCCCTGTGGCCCTAAAATGAGGCATTCTGGAGGCGAGCCAGAGGCCAGCTCTGTCTCTTTAACGTCCCCTGGCTCCCCGCCCTCCCCCACCCCAGGATCCTGTTGGGACAAAACGTCTTGGCTCAGTGGGTTGAAAAGGAGTCAGAAGTCTGCCACGTGAATCGCTGGGCCCACTGACTCACTTCCGCCTACTCAGGGACAGTGAGGCCCTGAGGGACACAGGTGGGCACCGCCGCCCTGACCTCCCCGTTTACCCTGACCTCCTATCCCCACCCTGGGGAGTGACCTGACAAGGGCCATGGGGACACTTGCTGCCCATTTGAAATCTGCCTGCAGGGGGCAGGGGGGCTGAGGCAGGAGGATCTCAGAGGGTTCAAGGCCAGCTGGGCTCCATAATGAACTCAAGGCCAGCCTGAACTACATAGTGAGACCCTGTCTCAAAAAAAAAAAGAAATCTGCCCCCAGGTTGGAGCAAAGCTAAGGAGGCTGCCATCGAGGAGTAGGTGGAGGGGGCACTCAAGGCTTGGGACCCTGATGATGCCTTCCCCCCTTTTCCTACCAGATCGCAGGGATGCTCAGCCAGGGTAAAGGCTTTGCCCCTGAAAGCGCCTGTGAGCGTGCGGGAGCCCTACCTGGCAGGGCGGCCCTCTGCTCCAAGGCAGGGAGGGGCAGGATGTGCAGCAGGCACACGAGGGCTCCAGGGTAGGATGAGTCAGGCGCTGTGAGGCGGAGGGAGGACGGGGAGGAAGGAAGGTTTAGTGGGGCTGGTCAGGGTCAGGGAGGGGGTCCCACACAGGCCCCTGGTGCCCCCTCTGCGGTTTACTGATGGCACCTCTGGGGCGATGGGGAGTTGTCCTGGGAAACAGTCCCCTCCAGGCCTTGGCCCCTTCCACCTGGACTTCGGGGACTCCCCAGAGTGGAGCGGTAGATGGGACTTGAGGAACACCAAGGCCACTGCTTCAAATGGCAGAACCGCTCGGGGCAGCATCCCTGACGGGTAGCTCAGAGGCAGAACGGGCACAGCCCACCTTC